CAGCACTGTTCCAGCACGCGTTGCTCGGTTTCTGCGATGCTCGATCTGCTACCACGGTAAAAGATATGCTGCCGGGACAGTAAACTGTAGTCTCTAAACGTGACGGCCTAGATTCGATTCTCTGCGGAGATTTTCGCGACATTTTAGGGGTAGGTGTTGTTGCTGGTGGTCGCGACAGATGGCAATCGGGAGATGAAGTTTCGCTTTCTTTGTGCGGTTATTTGTTCCAGCTCCCCTCCTTCGCACACACATACATACACACACACACATGCACGCACGCACGCACGCACGCACGCACGCACACACACACAAATACACACGGGCGCACACGCACACGCACACGCACACGCACACACACGCACGCGCACACGCACACACACAAACACGCACACGCACACACGCGCGCGCGCACACACCCGATTAATGTACGATGATGTAATTTTACGAGATTTAATTATAATAATGTGCTATTGTTCGTTCGGTAATGAGTAGACTTCGCAAGCTTTTTCAATCTAATCTTGTGATGCTATTATTGCTCAACGTATTTTTTGACGGGCCGGCTCGGTCTTGTCTTGTGTCAGGCCATGGCTGTTAGTAATTGCAACATTTATGACCTTACGATGGGAGTGTTGTTTGTTGTAACGTTGTTGTAATTTTTTATGGGGCAAACAGGCAATCTAACATGATTTCGGTCTTGTCACACCAGTTATTAGTATACGACGTTTTCTGACTAGCTCATTGTTTTGTCGTTTGTTATTCTCTCCCCCTCTCTTAATCTCTCGCTTTTTCTCCATTCTCATCTCCCCCTGCTTCAACTTGCCCCACTACTCCCTGTAATCATTTCGTGAATAATCAATAGTGTGTTAGAAAACCCCGGAGCTGAATGACAGATGGGCTTTTTTATTGAGAATGTAAAATGATGTATTATATTGATTTTCAAATGTTTGTTAAGAGCAATTGACTAGTAGAATTACATTATATGTGTGTTCAGTACCACGTTAATGTGTTTGATAACCACTAGATTGACTGTGCAGTCGGATGGGCGTTGCGTAATATTAGGGAGGGCGAATTAACACAATGAACACAACACGTCATGCCATAATCGATATCGCAAGTGTATTTCTAATCAAACTAATATCTCACACGCATATATATATATATATATATATATATTATATACTCTGTGTTGTGAGTCTCATGAAGAAACGTGTCTCTCAAACCATTGCCTTTTAACATTAAAACTGATTTCTAGCTGTCTTTTATTTCCTTCCCTACTAATAAGTATGTTCACATCCTCATGTCCCAAAATTTAAACTGGCAATAACTTCAAACTGTAATTGTGGTAATCAAGCGCTGTGGCACGGTTGTTTACACCCGCCGTAGATGTTTACATGATCAGTTTATTATCATTTGTCGGTTCTGCTTTGCTGATTATAGGCCATTGTCATGTTTTGGGTTATTTGTTGATTTTCGCATTTATCAGGAGCATTTTTCCCTCAGAATCTTTGACCGTTTCATGAACCCGATGTTGTAATTAGTTCATTCAGCCCTTAGTGCGCTCACTGCAAACCTCTTTCTTTGTCTCGGCTGTGAATCACAGCCTGAAGCCCCATTTCGTAGTCTTCGCATTTCGCGCGCACCACCGCGTAGGCGAGAGAAGGAGAGAGAGAGAGAGAGAGAGAGCGAGAGAGGAGAGAGAGAGAGAGAGAGAGAAACAGAGACAGTGAGATGGAGAGAGAGAGGGAGACACAGAGAGAGAGAGAGTAAAAAACGATTAATAATTGCCTCAGTTGAGAGGCGTATGAAATGGTTGCTCGCACGTGTACGCTAGCATGCATGGCTGGCGGTGCTTGCTGCCTATTGCTTGTCCCCATCGCTACGGCCGCCTCCATGCTGAAGCCACAGCATAGCATTGATTAGCTCTCAAGTGAGCCTTTGTTGTAGAGTCTGCTGCTACAGACTTCCCATCTTCCCCCCAGCCCCGCAGCACTAGTCAATACTAGCTGACTAGAGTCAATACTTGATGGGGGGAAAACTCGTCTGCCATTGATCGCGTTGCAGCTGTATAGTAGTAATGGCGATATATTCATACAGTGAACGTTGCAGGGGCGTTGCAGCCCTGCTAATCCACTTATGTTCATAGAAAACACGCGCAGCAACACCCGCAAAATCGCGCGTCTCGCCGAAACACTTTACTCGGCGTGTTTTTAATTGTTTAGCAGCGATCGCGCGTTTCATTTTCATTATCGATCCCGTGTTTCATCGGTCGTCGCCGTGTATTTATAACTATATTTATAGCATATATAGTAGTCATTCTGTATTAAATTATTAGGTCTTCGTCTATAACATGCTGCGATAACGCATGTTGCATAACGCATTCATGACGCATTCATGATGCTGCGATATTGCAGTTTCACTCGCCCCATATTTCAATGTTTGTATGATTGTTGGCGGTCATCTTGGACTGTATCACATTGTCTGATACAATCATCATGCTGAAATATACTGTCATATATTATTATATATTATATATATTATATTTATATTATATTTATATTATATTTATATTATATTTAATTATTTATATTATATATTATTATATGTTTACATACTGTCATTATGCATGATATTGTTCAACAATAACTATATTACAGTGTTTAGCATTTATCATACATGGCATTGTTTGTCATTCATCCTGCATATCCTGAGTTGATGACATAGACAGTATAACAATATAATAATAGAAAACAAATGATAATCTCTATCTCCATTTCCCTTCTCCCTCTCCCTCTCCCCCTCTCTCCCCTCTCCTTCTCTCTCTCCCTCTCCCTCTCCCTCTCCCTCGATCTCCCTCTCCCTCTCCTCATTCCTCTCATTGTTCATCATTCGTCATTTATGGTGTGGTTTAGAATTGATTATAGATGGTATTGATCAGCATACATCGTGCGTGATATTGTTTTAACATTCATCACATGTGAAATTGTCCAGCATTCATCATATTTGACATTGTTCAGCATTCATTATATATGACATTATACAACATTCTTTCAATATTCTGTTACTCAGTGTCTATATGACATTGTTCAGAATTTTTCTCACACCATAGTGTTTAACAATCATCTTGTACGTAATTAAATTCCTTGGTAATCTGATTTGTAAATTCAATAAGCTGCTGTTCAATGATTTAGCAAAAACGTTGTGGAAATATGGATACGTCAAATGAATCCCCTAAATGAAACAGAGCCTTCGTTAATAGTGTATTGCAGTGCTTTTACCTTAAGGATGTTACGTGAACGGTCACGAGTGCTTCTATTAGAGGGGAAAGGTAAAACCGTAATAAACGTGTAAGTGGGAGGTACACAACAATAGTGACTATAGGGGCAAAAGGGGGGCAAGAGGCTTTCATGCAAGATGTGTGCTGTATGTGTTTGTAGGCGTGTATAGTGTTTTAATGCGTGTAGGCGTCCTCTGCAACATTCACACCCATCGAGCATTTTTTCCTGCTTGATCATAATGTATGGTCGAGTATGTACGGGATGTGTCGTGAATGTATGGATGTTGTTTTTGCTAGGACGAAGACATTCTTTATAGTAACAGACGTACGACAATTATTTAAACGTAAACGTGTTTGAATTGCTATAAAAGCAGTGCTCAATTTTAAGGTTTTTTGTGGGTTGTCCGGAGGACAACTAAGAGATTAGCATATGGTTGTCCCTCAAGAGTTTTGGTTGTCCGGATATTATTTAAACATGTGCTGCATGCGCTCTGCTCACGTGATGCTCAGTGCTGTAAAGCTAAAGGCCTAATCATGTACATTTTGTACGTGTTGCAGTGACAGCAGACATGGCCATTCGCATTGTTTCACTCATTATATGAAGAGAATAAAATATTGGTAATGTGGTAAATGATGCTGGGATCAATGACGTGTAATAATAGTAATTAAAAGTTGCATGAAATTTATTTCATAACATTTACATTAACACTGTGTCAAGTCACAGATGAGCAAAAATTAAAAAAAAACTTTTTTTTCAAAATTAATTTAGAGGTTGGACACCGGACAACCACGGAAGCAATTTGTAGTTGCCCGAGAGAACACTGCAAAGCCATATAATAAAAGACATTACATACATAAAAATAACGGCTTAGTTTAGGTAGTTGAGTAAGGTGGCAAAACGAGTCGCAATATAGACAAATTACTGTTTTACTCAAGTACTGCATTATTTGCAACCTCTCCATGCAGAATCGCGGCCCCTCTCTCCATGCGTACATCCGTACATACAATCAGGTGGCAGTCAAACAGAGTGCTAATAAATTGTCGTGGGATGTAAAACGACCGTGTTGGCTAATTATTCAGCAGCATCATAATGAAACATCGTCGACCACAGCAGGGCTGTCGCCAGGGATTGATGAAGCCCTAATGGTGAAGCCCAGTCACGAAGGAGCAAAGCGCCGTAAAGGCGGAGAGTGTATGAGGGGGTTCCACCTCCCCCTGGTGGGGGACCAGGGGGCCTTCCCCGAAAATTTTTGAAATGCTACATGAAATGAAGTGCATACTGGCGAGTTTAAAAAAAATGCCATTTTAACATTTGCAACACAGTAAAAAGTACATTGCAACTGTTTAATTCCATAATTTATTTTATAAAAATCCGGAAATAATGTTGAAGCCCGAGCTTCCAGGCCTCCGCCTGGCAACGTGCCTGCAGAGCTAGGATAGGGATAACCTGTATCTGCTGGAAAATATCGTGGCATGTGCGTGACTGTGTTTCGCGTACTGCTATCACTAATGTTGTGCGTGGCTCATCGAGTTAATTATTTGTTGTCCGTGAGTGTGTCGCATAATGGACCTCGTAATGGGCGATCGATTCCGTAAACAGTAGAAGTTCGTAATCATAATCATGAAAGTTGTTCTACATGTTTCGTTGCTCGTGGCTGTTATTTTGATTCACGGCTCGTTACGTTGTGCGGACGAAAGACTTACATGGCTGTTCGCTTGTTTTCAGTGTCCGACACGCAGAAGGTTGTCATCAACGTTCTGGACGTCAACGACGAGAGACCTGAGTTTGTCAACAAGCCACGCCCATTCCAGACTGTCGTTTCCCCGAATGCTCCACAGGGGGAGCTGGTGTACGTTCTAGACGCGAGAGACAAAGACAAGGATGCTGATATCATTTACAAGATCGAGCTGGACCTTAGTAAGTAACGTCAGTCGCTCGGCTGTGGCATATACACGTTCTGGATAACTTGCATAAATTATGGAAAGTTCAGGCCTGTATATAGATAGGGTTAGAGTGCTAGCAGCTGGATAGATCATAATTCCTCCTTCAGGCAAGTCGCAACACGATCATCAGCGAAGTTATTCACTGATGCCAACTTACGTAGAATGACATCTCATTACGAAGTAAAATTTCCACATCTGAAAAAACCGAATTTACACAAATGCTGTATAGTTTCCATAAAAAAACGTTTGCAGATACCCCATGCCGTCATTTCCATTAAAACACGTTTGTTGACCCCCACGAAGTTTTCTTTGCATCCGGAATACAGCATGGTTGCAGATACCACATGAAACGCTGTCATTTCTGTACGTTTGCTGACCCCTTGAAAATGCGTTTGTTTAAAAAAAAAAGTTTGATAGCCCCTTTCTGGCCACGAAAACGTAGACGCGACGTAACGACTTCCCACACGAGACGTTTTGGTAAAAAAAGAAGATGAACCTCTTACGAAAATGCTGACGTTTTCTCCGAAAAAAATTGTTGCAGACTCCCCACGAGAACCGCCGACGTTTTCCATTAAAACGATAGCTAACTTCTCACGAAAATGCCGTCGTTTCGGTTTTTTGAAAAAATAAACCCCCTTGCCGAAAACGCTGGCGTGACATTACCGTTAAAATCGTCGGCCAACCCCCTTACGAAAATGCTGACAGTCACGTTAAAATCGTCGGCCGATCCCGCGCGGCGAAGACGCAAGGACATGCCGCCTGTCGCTACAAGTCTACCTACCGCTACATGTCGACGCTTCTCTCTCTCTCTCTTCCCTGCTCCCGCCAGGTGGCGAGAAGGCGTTTGAGGTTGACGAGCGTACGGGCATGGTGCGCACGCAGCGCGACGGCCCCTTCCAGGTCGGCCGCGACTACGTGCTGCGCGTGCGCGCGCTCGACAAGAACGGCATCCCCGGCACGCAAGAGTCGGCGATGGAGACGCTGTCGATCGTCGTCGGCAACCGGCCGCCGCAGTTCTACGAGGTCGACTACGAGGCGCCCGTCAACGAGGAGGAGAAGTCCGACGTGAGGTGAGCATCTCGGGGGAGGGAGGAGGGGAGCGTGCGCGCGGGGGCGGGGCTTCTTGGGAAGCCCCGGAGGCTTCCGCCGCCGCCGCCGCTTTTTTTCTTCTCGGATTTTTTTCTTTCTCGTGGGCTTCGGGCAGCGTGTAGATTGTTTTTTCATGACGGGCGAGGAGGCCGGATGGTCGCTTGTCTCTGTGAGACGTGGCTAGCGGTCGCGTCTCTGTGAGACGTTGCGAGCGGTCATGTCTCGCGTTGTGTTAACGCGACGAGAGCGGCCATTTTGTGAAGGCGAAATTTGGCAAGCGCCGTTGCAATGACAGGGGTGAATTCATTCCCTCGTGGGAACATGACGCGAGAATTGAACGTGGGTCGGCAGTAAATGCGAAATGAATTCAGTGAGAAAGTGCAGATGAGATCTCTTCTGCCGCTGTCAGTTTTCTTGTGCAATTCGAGTGAGATTGTGAAATTAATGAAACATACACTGTTCTGTCATGATTATGGTAGGTATGTAGCGAATGTTACATTTATTTGCTGACGCTAACCGCTACACAGTAACTGTCCGTAGCATGTGGTTATGAACCAATAATTACGTATCGTTTCTGTATAATGAGTCGATTAACCACTAGCTTGCTAATAGATGTGTGTTTGTGCATAATTTGTATTTAACTACAACGCGTGACTAATCACTGTGATGAAACTAGGTTTGCGTATTACATTTGGGAGGTGATATTGTCTGATAAGGTCGCCTGTGATTTCCCTCTGCCCAAACAGTATCAGTGACAGCAACTAGCATACCATACCATACCATACATGCCACCATGTATGAAATTGACCACACTGATTTGTTTTGAACCAAAATTGCAATGTTTTGGCACAATTTTAATTTTCTATTTGTGTTTTTTCTGCCAAGTTCTCCCTATGCAAGTGACTATCAGAAAAGGTACAGTGGTGGCAATAGTAGCTTCTACATTTTATCGACCAGCGCATCTTGTATTTTGTCTTAACCACATTGCCTGCACCATGCGCGTCCCTTCATAGATCGTACCTTGGTATAGCAGCATGAATTTCACTCGTTCGCAGCTAAAGAAAGAATATTTTAACATGAAGGGACGATGTCATATATGCGATAACCGAACCTACTAATCAATTTGCTTTAGTGCTTTCGGTGAGATCAAAGGTAAGCCAGAAAGTAGGTACACAGTACTGTAGTATTGTATGGTGCAGGCACTGTGGGGCGCCGCTAAGGCAGGCAAAGCAAATGTGCTGGTCAAGAATGGCTAGAAAGCTTACTATTCAGAACAAACCAAAAGACATATATTGATGATAGGCCACCTATTGTTAATATATTATGCATATATTGTATGAGTGCTTGTCTTAGGGTACAAGTTCTCAGTATACTGGCTTCTTAGTCTGTTCCTTTGTCGTGATGTGGTGGTGAGTGTGTGGCTTTCTTAAGCTCAGTCTATGATCGTGTACGAATAATTACGAGTAAATACGTGTATTTTCGTTAAGATGGAGCTCTGCGATCCAGTCGTGCACTAGGCACTGTGTTTTACGGGTTTGTGACTGTACTAGGACTGTATGAACTCGGAGGTCGATTGCAGAACTGAGAGCAAGCAGCAGTGTTGCGTATATGCACCTCTTATCTCCAGTGAGACCAGGTGGTAACGAGAGTCGCTGCATGTTTCGTGTGAAGCCAAGGAACGAGAGATGCACGGATGTCGCCTAGCTGTCAGCACTCCCTGATCACATGCTCATTGTTCTGTGTTGTGTGGACGTCATGAGTTCTAGATGCCACTGTGAGGGCGTCAGCGTGCCATCTCTCCATCTCTCGTTGTATTGCTCCCCCTCCTGCCTGCGTTCTTCGCTCTTTCTCTTTCTCCCACCCTCTTTCTCTCTCTCTATCTCAACGTCACTCTCTGCGTGTGTGCGTTCAACACTTGTCTCTGTCCCCTCCTACCTTCCTCTCCTCCTTTCAACCTCTCTCCCTCCCTTTCCTACCACCCTCCCGCTCTCCCTCCTTTCTTCACAGCCTCACACTCTCCCTTCTACGTTCACCACCTTCTCCTTCCTTCTTTTTTTTTCTTCTCTTTATCTTGTTGTCCGTTTACTTTCCTGTCTTTCTATCATTCCTATTTGCCCCTCCCTGCCCCACTCCTTATCTTCGGTCTCTCTCTCTCTCTCACACACATTCTCTCATTCCTTCTGCGGCCCCACATTAACCCTTGCTTGCTCGCTACACTTCTACACCTCGCATCCCCTTCTCTCGCCCATCTCACTCATCATCCACCATCGCCACCATCTCTTATCCCCCCTATCTCTCTCACCCACAATTCGTTGTCATATCTCTCTCCATTGCTGTGCCGTTTCCTCCCTCTGAACCATTCACTACCTCACTCCAGTCCTCCGTTCCACTGCACCATCTCCGCTATACTATATCTTATCTGGAACTGAGTGAAACTAGTACTCTCAAAGAGACTCGTTCAAATCCGTCCCAGCTGGTCTTTATCAAATAGCAAAATAATCTAGCAAAAATCACATGACTCACTATTGTTGGGAAAGATGGTGAGGGATGCAGGATGCTGCTTGCTCTAAGCTAGCTGCGAACATGTTTTGATATTGATAGAATATGAGTGTCAGTGCATGCTTGAAGCTGTATTGCAATATTTCTGGTTGTTATTGACTAGCTCATGTTACCTGTATACCAATATTGTGTGTGCATGCCAATGTTTCTTTACGATTTTATTGTGTACTCTGTCGTTAGTGAATTCTGCTACCATGTATTTTTGTGATGAATGTTTTTTTTATTCATTTATTTGATTATTGCTCAATGGAAAAAATGGTAAAAATATATTTCTTACTTTGTTATTTATTTTTTAACTATTATTTACTAGTTTGATATTTTCTGCCTTTCTCTGTGTTTCATGTATGATGCTTACTAAACTCGAAGTATTTGTTTTCATATAGTTTATTCATAACTTTATTTATAAGGCAAATTAACGTTCATATAATTTCTTATCATTTGGATATTTCCGATAATTTTCTTTTCGATTCGAATTAAAGTTTATTTCCTTCTATTCAATTGGCTCAGCCGTTTTAGAAGTAGCAAAGATTTTGTTCAATACCAACTACCCCCCTCCCCCCCGTCCCCCACCCCTAAACCCATCGAACACCGTCTACCACCCCCTCCCCCTACTGCTTTCATCGAGACACCGATGTGGTCTTCATCGTGTTTCCACTCTGACCCCCCCCCCATCCCCAGCTACTGCTTTCACTGAGACACCGACGTGGGCTCATGAGTAGCCACTGCTTTGTGTTGCAGGGTGGTGCGAGTGCAGGCGAAGTCGTTCTCGAACAAACCGATCAAGTACAAGGTGACGACGGAGGTCGGGCAGCCGTCGGACGCGTTCGCCGTGCGGCAGCCGGAGTCCGGCTGGGTGTTCCTGCTCAAGCGACTCGACTACGACGACTTCAGCCAGCCGAAGACCTACCGGCTGCAGGTGCACGCCGAGGAGGAGGGCAGCGGCGGTCTTTCTTCCAGCACCCTGGTGGGTATAGATATCACCCCCTCTTCCCCCCACTCTCTCCGGGTAGCTAACTACCGCCCCGGGTAGCTAACTACCGCCCCGGGTAGCTAACTACCTCCCCGGGTAGCTAACTACCTTCTTGGGTAGCTAACTCCATTCCTGGGTAGCTAACTACTTCCCCGGGTAGCTAACTACCTTCCCGGGTAGCTACCTACCTCCCCTGCTAACTACTGCCCCTGCTATCATCAACGTTTATGTGCGTGTGCGTGTGGCGCAGGGCATTGTGGGGTTGGCAAGAATAAAGACGACTGAACCATAAGACAGCATTTGCATCGTCCATCAATATCTTCCACGGGGGTAAGCATCTTCACATCAATAACCGCTACAGGTGGTAGTTGTGCAGTAGGATCATTTCTGGCAGATTGGGGTGGGTTCGTTGTGGTGGTCTTGAAGGTGAGCGTGGGTCAGATTAGGCTTGTGCAGCTGTTTTATGAGGAGTAAAGCTCAGGTAAGCCATTGTAGGAGTTAGTACAGCTTCGCGGTGTTGTGAAGTCATCGTAAGGGTTAGCTCCAAGAAACGGTATTGCTATAGGCTTGTATATTGACGTTAGTCACACAGCCTGGTCGGGTTACGTAAGGGTGTGAGGGCAACGTTGATATGAATGGGACATTATCCGTTGCTGTGGTACTGACGGTCATGTCAGTGTGCCGTGTGTTATGCAGGAAACGTGATCAGTGTCATGGAAAGGGCAATAGTAAGAATAGCAAATTATGGTGACAGAGCTATCAAGGCACTTATAGTAAGTGTAATGCGAGAGAATAGCAATCATAAGTTTGTGATGGCAGCTGCCATGAAATACGTATGATTTGCTGCTTATACAGCCTTGCTAGTTCTGTTGTACAATAGGCTCTCGGATAGAAGATAATATTTCCTCGCAATAACAAAAACGTGTGAAATATTTTGATTGATAGCAAGTGTTGCAGAAGAGTTAGATGGAGAATTCAACGTTCAGGGACTTGTCCAAGTTACCGAAGTTCATCGTATATTTTCAGTAATATAAATGATCGAAATAATTATTATTCGCATTGAAGGCATTGAGTATTAAAGGTGGTGAGATTTGTGACTGTGAAAGTTTAACAGTGGATTAAATTCAGAATTGTCATATGCTTTCAATTTTGCATCGATTTTTAAATACATTGTATAAAATGCATTAGTTGAGATAGGAGTGCATGTCAATTAAGTGCACCGTAGCATGCATTATGTTATTATGTGTTTCTGCATTTTTACTGGTATAGAAAATGTTTGAGTAAATAGCCAAAGTTTAACAATGTACCCACTCTATATTTAAGAGCTAGTGATGCATGGATTAGTCAAGCACTCCTATTATAGCAAGTAGCTATGCATGTATTATTTATTGCCAGCTGCTAACATATCAGATTGCTAGATCGCTATAATGAAAGAACCATGTGATAATTAATTATGCATATTTAGGTGTATTCATTATTATTTATCATAATTAATATACATGTACTTGATGATTTATTAATTGATAATAGCTTATCTACGTTAATTAGATCTTATGCGGATTCATAAAATAGATAACTGTGCGTGCATGTAGTTCGTTTATATTTAGTTCTGCCTGAGTTCTATAGCACTATATTTACACATGGCGAACGAGCGGGGAATAGAGTGATGTGCTCTGTATGTGACCACTTATCACCAACGGTTTGTTTTTCTTATGTCTCTCAGTAGTCATTCACGTTTACATTTTCGTTTTCAGCTCAATTGTACTACTTCACTGGGTATTGTTAGCGTGGGGTTGTTGCAGTTGCCATTGGTATTGTTGCCATTGTAACGAACTGCCAAATTCCCTTCATAAACATTTAAATCCAAACGAGAAATTTTCTTCCAAACTTGCACACACGATGTTTTCCTATTGTCTTGCCATTGTCCAGGATTTCACTTGCTTTCGATTTGCAAACATATGGGCAGCTACGGCTTAGAAATTTATTTTTAGAGTAGTCAAGTAGTTGAGAAATTGAAAAAACAATAGTAGAAGTGTCGTAGTTGGAATTGCATGATCCATGTCTTTTCGCACATGCAGTGACACCACCCCCAACTTGTTCTTTGGATGATCTGACACTGGTTGTTTGGTTTTGCGTCTAAATTAACTTCGTGTCACTCAAGTCTAATAGCTTGCTGGCATTTTGGACACATTTAAGTAAAATGGGCAAGCATGGATGCAACAGGTGCAGCACCTTGCAACAGATGTAGACTTGCATTGAAGGGTGCATTTATCATTTTAGTAAATATTAAAAGGAATCACTAAATGAGATGTGCCTTATTATTTAACTTCACATAGAATATGTGTGCTCGTCGAATGCTAAGTCATAAAGACAGTACAGTTATCGACTACTTGCATATATAGGCACATATCTCATCTCTAAGTGCAATATTATTATCAGCTTCTTGTTATTTGCTGTAACTGCAGCTTGGTTATCGACTGTTCGCATTACCACATGCTAAATACTTGATGCTAACGTATATGTACAAAATACGTAATGCAATACTAAATGTAAATGCAGTGCTATTGTCAATTTCTCATGTATGCGTGTAACGTGAGTCTAATGGCGGCATGGTTATCGACTGCTGTGATGGCTAGGCATGCACCTGTCACTACGCATCTAACGGTGGGGTTCTGTACATTTCTCGCGCAGCTGACGGTGAAGGTCGTGGACGTGAACGACAACCCGCCCGTCTTCAACCTTCCCGAGTACGTCAAGGAGAACATCGATGAGAACCTTCCCGCCGGAAGCATGATCCTCGCTGGTACGCACTCTGCCGGTGCCGCTGCGTCGGGCGCCATGCCGCATACGCACGCATGCAGTTTCGGCAACCATTTTGATCGTCTTTCTTTTTTCTTTATTCTCTTGGTCTCCCGATGGGACATAAGGCCGTGATTTTGATCGTGACGCAGCCTTTTTCGAGTGCAATGCTGTCACGCGCATGGAGGTGGTGTGCACGCGGTGGCATTGCTCTCGTAAAAGGCTGCGTCACGATCAAAATGGTTGCCGAACCGCCCGTTGTCATGCTCACTTGTTGATCCTAGTGTGAAGCGGTGTGGGTGTTGTTACTTGCAGCGACTTCGCACGCGCTCGGATTCGTGTTTCAGTAGGCGGCCATGAACGGTCGCGTATCGAGTGACCGCCTAGAGATTCGGTCTCAGCTGTGTCGCTCAAGTTTCGTAGCGATACGGAGACTAATGCGTTGAATTCCTTTGATTATCAATGGTGATGGATATTAATAATATAGTTAGCTATTATGAATTCACACAGATTTCCCCCCACCACCCCTTCACCCCACAGAAAAATTGCCAGTGTGAATCACAAGTTCTGTTTAGGAACACCAGGTGGTAACGCGGCGACATCTGATGACGTCGTTCGTGTATCGTGAAAATCGTTACGATGTGCGCCGGTGGGACTCATTCTCTTAAACCTGATCTGCGTGGCTGGGTTTCGAGCTGCAGTATAGCTTACGGTCCTCGTGGGGTTACGAGATTGCATTGGAAAATGTAGCGCCGCGAAAACTGCCATGTGGAAAATTTGTTTGTGGGCATGGCAACGGCGAGACGTGTCGTTCCTATGGGAGCAGCGACAGCAGCACCACTCTGCATTCACGGACACAGATGCGTTTCAATAATTGTACGTAGCTGACGAATTTTCGTGGATGGGGCAGCTTCAATATCATCCTTTAAATTCACCCTTTGATCACGCGCATTTGGGAAATGTTCTCCTAGGGAAATTTGTTAGTGAAATACGAAAGGCGCAAAACTGACAGATTGCCCTGATTCAGTCTGACGACTTGATATGAGAAACGCGGCACGTGAGAATGAGGCTATTAGCGGTAATCAAAAAATGTAGCGACGATATTCACTCGTCTCACTTCAGGTAGGTCACGATGGGCTGCACATAAATTTGCCGCGTTCATTCCCACCTTATGCTATAGATCGAGTACGAACTTGCCATGCCTGCTGCCATTCCAGGGACCGTCTATATGCTCACTGCATCTGGCCTCGTACACCATTAATTAATTACTACGTTCCCGTGCGAGTGGACTGCGCGTAAATTGCCCACGTCTGCTGCGTTGGAGCGCACGAAAATTTGCGTGTGTCTTCTGATGCCATAGACCACGCGCATGAATTTGCCTCGTCATGTCTAAGTTTGTCGTGTCTCTCACCGCATTCACTGCGTTGGGCTATGCACACCGACAGTGCTGCCACCTACGCAGATCGTCCGCGCTCTATATATACACAGATGTACATAAATATATATGTATATATAATATATGTCCTATGTATGTCTATATGTACATATATACCTTTTCTCTGAAATTATGCAATGACCAATTCCAATGTATACATGTGGTATATATATATATATATATATATATATATATATATATATATATATATATATAATAACATGTGTCCTAAGTTTGTCGTGTCTCTCTCTTGCCACCGGCAGTCACCGCGACGGACGCCGACAGCTACCAGAACGGCAAGATCACGTACGAGCTGTCGGACACGCAGAACTTCACGATCCGCAACGAGGACGGAGCGATCCTCAGCAAGCGCAAGCTCGACTACGAGATCCCCGGCCACAAGTACGAGTTCCAGGTGATGGCGAGCGACAGCGGCACGCCGTCCAAGTCATCGCCGGCCGTCGTGCGCATCTTCATGAAGAATCAGAATGACGAGGCACCGAGGTGAGCGGCGGAGCGATGGCTCCCGTGAAGTCCGTTCGTCGATGTGTCGCTTCGTCCAGTTCTTCGCCCTTCCGATTTGATATCATCATTCCTTCCTTTCTTTCCGCATCTTTATGAAGAATCAAAATGACGAGGCACCGAGGTAAGCGGCAGAGCAGTGGCTCCCGCACGCGCGTTTGTCATCATGATCTCGCTCTCCCACTCTCTCACCCTTCCCTTCTCTCTCTCTCTCTCTCCGATTTCCCTCTTTCACACCCTCTTTTTATGACCCTCATTACTTATTTTTCTCCGCCTATATCTCGTGCTCTTTTTCACTCTTCTGATGCTTTGATCCCCTTTTGGTTTCTTTTCTTGCCTCTTGATTTTCCATCCTGTAGGCACTAGAACGCATTGCGCTCCACGTATTGAACATGTTGTAACACGAAGGCTTTGCGCTGCGTACTTGTCACGAAGTCCGTTCGTCGATGCATCGCTTCGCTTCGTGTGCCTCTTTTGCCTTCCAATTTTGCTCTCCGATCTTGAATGAATTTCCATTTTCATGAACTCTCCCCTTCATGAAGAATATCAGATTTGATCCTCTTTTGGTTTCTTTCTTGCCTGTCGTTCTCCATCCTTTAGGCACTTTAACACATTGCGTTCTGAGTATTGAACATGACTTGCAACCCTTGCTCCACGCAGGTTCTCTCAGAGCGTCTACATCACAAACGTCGCCAAGGTGATCCTTTGATCCTCTTTTGGTTTCTTCCTTGCCTCTCGATCTCAATCCTTTAGGCACTCTGCGTGGCAGGCAACACACTGTGTTCTAAGTATTGAACACAACCCTTTACCCTTGCTCCACAGGTTCTCTCAGAGCGTCTACATCACGAACGTCGCCGAGGACGCGAAGCCCGGCGCGCTCGTCACGACGCTGAACGCCGTCGACCCGGACGGTGACAAGGTCACCTACCAGTTCAAGGATGGCCAGCTGGAGTCGCGCGAGTTCAAGATCGACCCGCAGACGGGCGTGCTGCGGCTGAAGGACTCGGACGTGTCGCTCAGCGAGCCCTACTACACGCTCAACGTCACGGCGAAGGACGACGGCTCGTGCTGCGCGGGCGACTCGCCCGAGCACTTCTCCGAGGCGCTCGTCACCGTGCGCGTCATCGACGTCAACAACAACAAGCCCGTCTTCCCCAACTGCACACTCTACCGGCCGAAGGTGCCCGAGAACTCGCCCGCGGGAACGTTCGTGCTGCAGGTACGTACGCGCGTGCGAGAGAGTGTGTGTGGGGACCGGTTTAAAATTCTACGGGTTGTTGTCCTACGTGTCGTTGGTCCTACGGATCGCTGGCCCGAATATATAAGGTGCCCGAGAACTCACCCGCGGGAACGTTCGTGCTGCAGGTACGTACGCGCGTGCGAGAGAGTGTGTGTGGGGACCGGTTTAAAATCCTACGGGTTGTTGTCCTACGTGTCGTTGGTCCTACGGATCGCTGGCCCGAATATATAAGGTGCCCGAGAACTCACCCGCGGGAACGTTCGTGCTGCAGGTACGTGCCTGCGTGCGAGAGTGTTTGGGGGACCGGTCTAAAATCCTACGGGTCGTTGGTCCTATGGGTCTATAATCCTACGGGTCGTTGGTCCTACAGAGAGGGGGAGAGAGCGAGAGAAAGAGAGAGAGACAGAAAAAGGGTGATATAAGCACGCTTGTGTGCAGCTCTACCCGTGTGCCGGTTCGCTCTCGCTACAGGGCACCCCGCGTGACGTTCTCTTGTTGTTCTGCGCAGGTGACGGCGACGGACGACGACACGGGCGACAACGGCCGCGTGCGATACAAGATCGAGTCGCGCGACACGGTGGCGCAGGAGCCGTTCCGCATCGACGAGGACACGGGCATCATCACGACGCGCATCCCGTTCGACCGCGAGGAGAAGAACCATCGACAGATCACCGTGACGGCGACGGACAGGGCGCCGCGACAGCTCATCGGCGTCTGCACGTTCGTCGTCGATATAACGGGTTCGTCTGCGCTCGCGGCGTTTCGTCGCTGCCGGCGCATTTCGTAGTTTGCGTTCGGCTTCGGAGACGATTGCCGGAGAACGATTCGGTTCTTGTAATAATTCGGCATGTTCGTGGCATTCTTCAAGGCAATACTAGAACGGAGTAGCATTGTAGGTTTACTGGTTCGCCAAAGGGAGACCTCTGAATTTGAGCATGTGCAATCGAGTAGCTTGGGGGTGTACGCCTTTCTCCTGTGTCATAATCATATGCACATGATATTAAATTATATATGGATAGGTAGATATAATATATGATATATAATATGGATATGGTATATATAGATATATAGATATAAGATAGTGTTGCACTAAGAAATGATAAACAGAGGACTTGGCACAATCTCTGGTACTGAGCCCGTATGGTAGTGACGTCACATGTACATGCGCTCCCAGCTTCTGACGGCTACTTTTCTGTCCCTTTGAAGATGACAATGACAACGAGCCGAAGTTCTCGTCGACCGAATACGACACGCCCGTGCCGGAGAGGTCAGAGGTCGGACGCAGCTTCCTCCGGGTCGCCGCGCAGGACGTGGACGTCGGGCAGAATGCCGAGATCGGCTACTCTCTCATCGACACGTCCGGTTTCTTCAGCATCAACCCGCAGACGGGCTGGATCTACGTGAAGCGCCCGCTCACTCAGGTACGTACGCGCTCCACCCAGGTACGCGCACCACCCAGGTACGCACGCGCTCACTCAGGTACGCGCACCACCCAGGTACGCGCTCACTCAGGTACGCACACCACCCAGGTACGCACTCACTCAGGTACGCGCTCACTCAGGTATGCACTCACTCAGGTGCGTGCACCACTCAGGTACGCGCTCACTCAGGTACGCGCATTACCCAGGGACAGGAATTGTCCTCGATCTGAGAAATTTCTCGGATTTGACGGTCCCTGGGGTGTTGATTTTGTGAAACGTCTAAATTTGATGAGAAAGGGTTAGAGGGGCGGATAAGGTTAAGAATGTGATGAATTGTCCTCGGATCCGAGAAATTTCTCGGATTTGACAGTCCCTGGGGTCGATTTTGTGAAATGTCTGAATATGACGAGAAAGAATTTAGGGGGGTGGGGGGAGGTAAAGGGTAATAATGTAAAATCTGTATTTCAACTCTCAACAGTAGCTTTATTCAATAAGATTCCTCTCTGTTACATGTACACATAATGTGAGAATGTGTGTGTAATATAACAATAACACAAATGAGTTTGTAGTTATCAACAGGTAAAACACATTGTATTAGAAGTGCGTGAATAGTTGGCTTCCCCCCCCCCCGACTCGCGCCCTCCTGATTTTCTCTAAAAAATGAAATTCTTCATAATCATCCCTGGCTACTCAAGCTCGTAGCAGTGAAGGGGAAATTTAAGTGCGGGTTCTAATTTAGCCACAGTGCTAATGCATTTTAATAATGAAATTATGTCAAATAATTTGCTAATGCTGTGTATGTTTTGTCGTGTGTTAACAATTTGCCAACACGTTGCTAACAATGTGTAGATTAACAGCAAAACTTGTTTCTTAAAAATTAATTACAGTTATGGGCAGTTATTAAAAGTTTTGGGCATTATAATAATAATTATTATTATTATCATCATCATCATCATTAATAATATCCGGTTTTAACGTGTGATGTGTGGTATGAGTAAAATATTAGCAACATACGTGCAAATTTAGAATTCAGTTTAAAGTTGTAAATGTCACGATGAGGAGCTGGGGTTAGCCGCTAGGGGATCTATAGGGGTCTTGCACCACTACAGAGGTGCTGCCCTACAGCAGCGACTTTTTCTAGCGGCTAACATCATTGTTTCACGTTTAATCTGCAGGTGAAGGAAGTGCAAGCGATCGCCGTGGCGACGGATAAAGGTGTGCCGGCGCGGTCGAGCAACGTGAAGATACGCATCGTCATCACTGATCGCACGGGGAGTAATCCACCGCAGTGGGTGGGGGCACCCTATCCACCGGTCTTCATCTCAGAAAACATCCCAGTTGGCAGTGAGGTGGCGACTATCAAGGCTCGGTCAGACTACTTTGCAGATCCCAGACTTCTGTACGACATCGTGCCCGGAAGTACGAGGTATGCGTGCCGCTCATTAAGAACCGACGAGACCTATACTAGCTCATCTCTAGCCGGCGCTAACGATTTTCTTCTTTGCCGTAACGAGACCGAGAATACTAAGTGAAAGTGTTTTGTTTCACTGTTTAATTATGTGTTTAATTAAGTGGCAATGTGAGATGTGGATCAGGTGGCAATGGAAACTTGTAACCGCTGTCTGTAACTCTCCGTTAACTTGCGTTTTGTTACTTTACGTGTAAGTGCTGAATATCGGATTCTGCAAACAAGACATCTTTTAAGCATGGAATCACATCTTGGTGCATGTCCTTGTGCCTTTTAAATACTTTCTCGCATTTTCTCACATCATTTATAGCTCTGGCAGGTTGTTTAACGGCTAGGTGTGCGGGCCAATTTACATTTGCCACTCGGTTACCTGTGGCCAAACTCGTCATTGTAGCACTTGTTGTTAAATGTTGTTGTTGTTGTTGTTGTTGTTGTTGTTGTTGTTGTTGTTGTTGTTGTTGTTGTTGTTGTTAAATTACACCATTAGAGTGCTCATCGGCTGCCTCTGTCTTGTAGAGAGAAGAACTCTGAGCATCACTTCATCATGAGACCAGACTTCAAGGATGAGAATCAGGCTCACATTGTCGTCATTCGACCCCTGGACTACGAGAAAATGGCTGTTTTTAACCTGACCATCAGAGCAAAGGTAGATATATCTAGTAAATCACAGATAACTTCGTATGGGGAGGGGGGGCGTACAACCGCACAACTGAGCCCTACAAAACAAATTAGTAAAGCTGATGATACACACACACGAATCTTTGATAGAATCCTCAGACGACTTGATTTTGCTTTCCAAAGCAGGGATTCATGAGCAGTTGTACACACTGACGTGTGTAAAAGAACACAATTTGTGTCCCTCGGCAGCTTGCGACTTGGAAGATTGTTCTACTCACTCATATGCCTGCTAAGTTCCTGGCTAAACTCGTGTGTGTATCCTTGGCTTAAGACAACTATAGGGTAGCTAGGTAGACAACAAGGTGAACAACGGGCAAACTAAGGAGCAACACGCATGCTTACTTTTTTGTGCTCCCAATATCTAGCCTTCTAACTGGTATTTTTAGCCTTCTAACTGGTATTTTTAGCCTTCTAACTGGTATCTATGGCTAGCTGACTAATATTTGTAGTCTATTGTCTCTAGTATTGTATCTAACTGATATTTACAATCATCTAACTGGTATGAATATCTACCTATCTTGTGATTCTACAATTTCGCGAGTGGTTAATTTTGCTGTCGGTGAATTATGAATTATTCGGTATGAATTATTCGCATGTTGTGTTATTTTCGCGGTCGGGGACGCATTCGCAAAATTTGCGAAAATTAAACCACCGCGAAATATACAGCATATACAGTATCTGGTATGTATAGCCATTTCACTGGTATGTGTAGCCTATATATTATAACTTGTATTTCTACCCATATAACCATATATATTTGGTCTATTTCAGAATAATGCACAGGTGCAGCTGTCCAACGTTACGTACCTCATCATCAACCTGCAGGATGAGAATGACAATGCGCCGCAGTTCACGCTTGACCCGTACCCAGCCAGTGTGCCAGAAGACTCGCCCATAGGTACCTCTGTCATCCAGGTGAAAGCTGAAGACATCGACAGCCTAGGACCCAATAGTCACGTACGTAACACAGTTGGGCTGTGTGATGTGTTGGTGATATTATGTGTAATATATATATATATATATATATATATATATATATATATATATCTGCTAACTCATTAATGTAATTGTTACGAGAGTTTTCCATTGTTTTTCCCACTTTCATGATACCTATCGTTATTGCTTGAGTAACAGCAATTGTCTAGAGTAATGATGAAATGTCTTAGAACGTTCGTATTCACCAAAATATGCACGATTACAACTTTTGTTTACTGATTTCGTTTCTGTTGCCATCTCTGGCTGCAGTAGAAAATAGTCGCACCGCGGCAGTTTTGGTCCGAGTGTAAACACAGAGGTTCAGACTAGCGTACGGGGAGTGTAATACTGATGCCCGGTGAAGAAACTGATCGCCAAGGCTCATTCGGAACCCTTTCCGACTCACATAGCTCTGGTTTGACCAAAAACGTCTTCTTTTCTTCTCTGAACTCCAAAGTACACGCCCTACTGCTTCCATTGTTGTTTGATTTACATTCACACACATATACATGCCCTTTGTTTTAATTATGTGCACTTGTTGTGAAGGCGCCATTTGTGATTTTGTGAGTCGGCATACGATAAAATTTATTGCTGTTACGATGTGGTCAAATCCATTTTTCTATGCTATAACTGCATAAAATCTTAGTGTTTTTAATGTTGGTGTAATCAGTGATATTTCCGCTGTCAGGTGAGACTATATTCAGCTATATTTAGTATTTCTGAGCAAAAATCTCGTAATAATCAGTTTAATGCATTTTAATATACGTACAAGGTCAATTTAGCATCTTCATAAAACTAATTAGTTTAAACGGGGTTTCTCATTAAAACCCATATTATAATGCAGGATGAAGTTTGCAATGTATTGCCTTTTCTCTGAAATTATGCAATGACCAATTCCAATGTATACATGTGGTATATATATATATATATATATGTATATATATATATATATGGTATATATAAGTGTATATATTGTTCCGAGCTATTTTCAGCGTGTTACCAGCATGTGTATAATAGATGTGTGTGTGTCTCTGGATTTAACGTAGCCTATGTTTGTTCCATGCAGGTTATCTATGAAATCATGAGGGATGGACCGACGGACGAGGGGAGAGCATTTTCGATTGACTCGGAAAGTGGTATACTGAGAACGGCCGAAGAATTTGACAGAGAAAAGAAGCAGTTGTACCTGATTCGCGTGCTAGCAAAAGATAGAGCCCCCTCCACGTGGCCAAACAGGCAGGGCAGTCCGAATGAAGGTCAGAACTGGCGTGTAGTGGTGCCGTTTGTAAAATAATAGTTACCACTGGTCGTCGTTGGGTTTTTCGTTTCGGTCAGTGTCCGGTGGTCACATGTTCTGTCAGTTCACGGCAATGCTGAATAGACAATGGGTGTTTACATGTTCACACAGTGCCTACAGTGCTCATCCTCGAAGCGATGCGTGATACCATATTCTATTAATGTATGTTGTTTATATGAACGTGTTTTCAGTTGACATCGTTGTGTGAAACGGTTACCGTCAGATTTCTCTTCTTGAAAAAATATTTTCATATTTTTCCCACCAGGTGGTGCTTACGTGCGTGTCATGGTGGAGGATGTGAACGATAACGTGCCATTCTTCAGTAAGAAACTCTTTGAGGCCGAGGTGAACGAGGATGCACCGAAGGGCACTATCGTCATCGAGGTCACCGCAAAAGATCGCGACGAAGGTGGGTCGATGCGGTGACGTGTACACACTTGCTCGTAATTCGATGTCATAAATTGGCCGATGAGACTGACAGACCTGAGATGATTATAAATTTGTGATGACCTTCAAATATCAAATTTGATTCACCTATCGTATAATAGCTAGTGAAAATCATTTTCTGTGATAAAAAAAAAGGTAAGAAATGCTCGATTTAGGTAAACCTTTGATGTACACTTTTTATGTTTGTCTTTTTCCATGCACAACCTTGGTGCTGAATACAAAATGACGAGCATGCATTTGTTTCAGTTACACACTTGAGGTACCAGCTCACAACTGGAAACATAGGCGGTGTCTTTGATGTCAACAACGAAACGGGCGAGATAAGAGTGCAAGGAGAACTAGACTATGATGAAGGCATACAGGTAACACTCATAAGGTGTTGTTGTTGCTGTACTGCATGGCCGTGTGTGTATGGGTGCGTGTGTGGGTGGGTGCGTGTAGCGTGTGTGTGTGCATGTGTCTGCGGGTGTGTGTATATATCTGTGCGTGTGTGTGTTTGTGTGAGGGTGTGTGCGTGTGTTTGCATGTGTGTCACGCGATCACCCTATTGGTGGATTGTGGTGGCGTATGAGGGGGGGGGGCTCTGGCTACTGGTTGTAGCTACTGCGAAAACATCCTGAGGTGGCCAAGGCAGGCTTGATGCTAAAAGCACAAATCTCTCAACAGTGCTGTATAGCAAGAGGTATGCACACAAGGTTATCAATCAAGCGCTGGTGCTTCAGATTTCTAATTCTAAACTTGATCTTGGAACACACTTATAATCGATGTCTTTCTCAACGTTAACTGCGGCATTATTATGTACATGGTGTGATGAATGTTTAATGGCATTAATTAGTAGACCTAAGTGGCAATCGTTGGAATGCTGTCATGTTGTACACGTGTGGCTACTTGCATTATATTGAGGGAGAGAGGCTCAAAATGTCAATTTCTAATTCTAATTAGAGGCAAGGGTAATTGCAAGATGCATACTGTTATCTCTTCCTCTCTCTCTCGCTCTCTTTCTCTCTCTCTCTCTCAATGTACACTGTGGCTTGAACTCAAACTGCTATGGTAGCAGTTTGAGTTCAAATGCTCGCGCACATCGGAGCACCTTATTGCTTTGTTTTGCACCATTCTAGGGGTGCTTCTTCCTGGTAAGTAGAACAAACATTTCCACCACCCGATCTGTATGTTCATTTTTTTCTTGTAATCACTAGCGACATCTGTAGGAGTGAAACCAGACTAACAGATCATGCGGCATCGTTTGTTTCAGTCACGTCCGATGCATGCACAGGCGCTTTGTGCAGACAGTTGTAATAAACTGGCAGGCTCCGTGCGTGATGCTTGCCAGCACCTGCCGCTGAGGCGCCCACAGTACTTCACCCTGCGGGCAATATTAGCGGCTATCGCAGAGCGGTTTTTTTTCGTCTTGCTACACGTAATGTCGTCGTTCGAAACGAACGTTCCAAAAAAAACGGGAACGATCGTGGAAAAAAAACAGTTATCCAGTCAATGATCAGGATTTTGCGCAAAAGTATACACACCTTGTTTCGTAGCTGTGTTTCATACACTGCCCACCGCTAGGCTTGCACTGGTGCTGTTGCCCACTTGTGTGCCAGTGTGGCTGTGCATATCAGACACTGTCATGAGTGAGGTGCAGACGGGTGTTTGGTGATTGTGTCGAGTGCCTCGGAGAACCAGCGCGGCTTGGATTTGTAACCGTAAAACCCCCAAACCCTTCAAAAACTCAACTAATCAATAATTACCTTGGCGTGCTGGTGCCCTGAGGCACATGACATAGTCAACTTATGCTCATTTGCGATGGTGATTAATTCTGTATTACCTCATATATTCAGTCACCTGTATTATATATAAACACATGCACGGCTGCGCACACACATACACACGTCGTATACTCATGCACACGCAGAAGTATACGTGCACGCACGCAGCCACAACACACACAAAATGCGCGCGTGTATATACAGAAATACACACGCACGCGTGCGAATGTACAAACGTGCCTGCTCACTGCACAAGTGCGCGCATGCGCGCACTCATGCACGCACACGCGGGTACACAACTGAGCATGGCAGTGGCAAAACCTGGAACGGGCAAGTTTTGGGGAAGGGGAAAAAGAGCACACGCGAATTTCTGCTTTGCTTGCGTGTGTCGGAAGTCTGTTGGTGTATTCTGTGGCTGCTGATGGCATATGAGGCAGTAGTCGCACGCTGGCCTGTTAGTTGATTAGTCTGTGCATGGAGCATGTGTCTGAGATCTGTTTGATTGCCGGCACCTTCTTTTCTGGGTGGCAAAACTGCTTCTTGCTCTGACATCGTGTGTAAAGCTACTGCATTCGTGTGCTTGCTTTCAGCATGCGCACCGTGCTTTTGCGCTGCTAACTTCTTGCCAGTGTGGGTCTGGTCGCGTGTGTTTGAACTTGAACGTCTTTGGATAAGGGAAACCTGGGTAAACGTGGAGTCTTTAGTTCATCTTACCATTCTGTCTTGCACGCTGTCTAGTAATGGTCGTTACTCGTTTCTTCTGTATTTATACATTTGGGGAGGTTTTTGCGGTGGGGAAAGGGAATGTGTGTCGGTTGGTGTGTGGGGTTGCATGTGTGCCTTAGCATACGTCATGCGAATCAGCAACTGTGACGTCACGTGTGATAATCGTATTATGAGATGTTACAAAGCTGTCATTCACTCGGCTGTCACTCGCTGGCATCATTGTTGCAGAATCCTGTGATTTGATTGGATATTTATTAGGCAAACTCGCGCGCGGCGGTTGGAAGTACAGGTTTCGAGTCGGTTTTACCCCGACTAGTGTTTCCCCCCGACTAGTGTAACCGTTTGCGAAATAAGCTTCACGTTTATTACTGTAGGTGGCGCTCTCAACGCCGAGGTCTGTAACTACTGATCGCAGGCCAAGTTTTGTTTACGATGTCGTTTCGCCCGATCACTGTAACTGCCAGCCATATCGTTTTCACGAGTGTTCGTGATCGGATGGCAGTGCGCGGGACACGAAGAGTCTGACGTGAGTGTCCGCCCTGGCGGTGTTCGTCCTTGTGTAGATATACAACCTGACGCTGGTGGCATCCGACGGCAAGAACGAGAACGAAACGCTGATCCGCATCTACGTGCGGGACGTCAACGACAACCGTCCGATCTTCCTCACGCCGCAGTACGAGGCCAACATCCCCGAAGAGATGAAAGAGGGCCTGCCGAAGAAGATCCTCCAGGTAGGTGGTCGTGGGCTTCCTCTCTGGAAGGTACGGTCGTGGTCGTCCTCTACGGAGATCCTCTACGGATGTCCTCCTGTCTCTCCTTGGCATCTCCTCCCAAATGCTGGGCATGGGCTTCCTTTGACTGCGGCATCTCCTCCTAAATGCTGGGCGTGGGCTTCCTTTACACAGCGTACAGATGACTGATTGTCGCATAAACGTGGTTCTGCATTTTTTGGTGGAGCAGTTTCTTCGTGAAGGATACAGTTTGGGAGCAGGGGAATGTGGCTTCTTTTTTTGGTGGAGCAGTTTCTTCGTGAAGAATACAGATTTTAGGGGGAAATGTGGTTTCTTAGGGGAAACTAGGTATCTTAGGTGGAACATGATTTTTTGTGGTACGCAGTTTTCGACGAGAACGGAATTCTTTGGGGGTATTAAATTTCTTGTGGTATTTCATGAAAAGCTATCAATATCTTTAACAGTCGGTGAGGATTTTGCCTTGCATGCTTGCCTACTCAGACATGACTTCACAAGACGATTGAACATCAGTCAGCAGTTAGGCCAGCTTGAACTATATATTCTGTAATGCGCTACATATAATAGTGTTGATTCAATGAAATACCTGTTTACATTAGATTAGAAACCTGCTGTCCTTGTTTAATTGTGGTGCGACCTCCTAATTCTCTTATGCTGTCTTCGGCAGGCGGTGGCAAGAACAGATACGGAGCAGCGCGTGTCAGAACCTTGATGACCTTTGACCGCGAAGTCACGAAGCAGTTCAAGGTTCCAATCGTCATGGCTGATAGCGGCAATCCTCAGATGACAGGAACGAACACGCTCACTATCACCATTGGCGACAAGAATGACAATCCCCACTACGCTGGCATCAAGGACATCTTTGTGTTCAACTACAAAAGTGAGTTGCCCTTGACATTTCCCTTGCCCTTGGCTATTCGTAACCAACCTAACAAACTAAACTCTTTTTTTTATTGTATGTGAGGGTTTAGTTTCATAATTTTCTAATTTGTTCATCATTTCGTGTGTAGCAATGTTGGTAGAAAATTGATGAAATAATGCACATTTTTGGTTGATCAGGAATTTTTCGAGCATACTGGATGATTGGTCTGATAAAAGGTTTAAGAGAAAATGCATAATTGAATGTAATTACAATGTCATTTCCGATCTCGAATAACTTTGTTGTGAGTACATCAGATCTAATTTCGGAGTATGGGAGTGAGACAGTAATGGGGAGTTGTCTATGCAGATAACATGCCAGAGACAGTCATTGGGACAGTCTATGCAGAGGATAAGGATGACTGGGACTTCAGCGACAAAGAGTTTACCTTTGCAGAAGGTGTTCCCACCTACTTCAAACTAGGAAACAATTCGGGTGATGTTATCATCAGGTATGTTAATGCTTGCAATGAACTTATAATCTTAATCTTATGATCAATGATCTTTAATGCTGCCTATACCAAAATTCCCTATCATAGTTTTAAGAGAGTTTAGCAGTATCATGTCTTCTATGGATTCTGTAAGTAAAATAAGGTCTCTTGGAATGTTGCCTTATGTTACAGATGTGTCAGGCAGGCAGACTACCTTGTATTCAATGCAGTCTTCCTTGATAGTCACAGCACCCTTATTTAGCATGATATATATTGTACACTAGACACTGCTACAGACCGTGATGAATTACTCCATATGAATCCAGATTTTTTACTGTGTAGATTTTATTTTTTTACTGTTTTATATTATTTGTTTAATTTAATTAACTATTTAATTAATTTGTAAATTAATAACTGCCGCTGCTTCAGGAACAACACACCAGCTGGGAAATACTCGTTCAAGGTGAATGTCTACGATCGGGTGTTCAGCAAAAACGTAGTCTCTACTGTCAACGTCGAGGTGAAGGGCATCTGGGACGACGCGGTTTTTAACTCAGGGTCTGTGCGAATAACAGGTACGTACGATAAATTTGGCGATAATTTCAACAATTTGGTGGCCATTTTGTTTATGCAAATAGATGGCCAAAAACTCAAAATTTCGCTTGGGAACTGGGCTTATCGGATTCAGCATACTCGAATTATGTTGAAAAGTCTGGTTCCCAACTTTTACCCCAAAATGCCCATTGAACCTTATAAAGCATCTTTTTCCAGAAATCCTACTAGCATACGATGAGAAGTAAGCATTCAGTTGATTGGTAGAGTCCCGATTGTGCGTGTAGTTTGCTAGGTAGTTTTGCTTGAACGCATTGCGATACGTATTGTATTGTGAAGGGTGTATGGTGATACGTATTGTATTGTGAAGGGTGTATGGTGATACGGATTGTATTGTGGGCAACTTATTAACTCGTATTGTCCCACCTCTAGTAGACACAGACTGCTTGGATGAGAATTCGATTCTCGTGTTTGAAACCTTGGATGAGAGACATATGTTAGAGATATGATGTTGAGATAAGGATTTGTTGTAGAGATGTGATGCTAGGACTATGAATACATTGTAGAGATATTGAGATTGATATACTGATATATATAGATGTTGAGATTGATATATTGATATATAGATATTGAGATTAATATCTAGAGCCTGTAGTGCTACGATGACAGCTGAACTATAGAGACACTGGGATGCCTTGGCATTGACCTCTGCTGCTGTTTTCAGGCATGACCGGTGAAGAATTCATAGCCGTGGACAAAGACGGAAACAGCAAGTATGCACTATTCCAGAAAGAGGTTGCCAAAGTAACTGGAGCTTTAGTGAGTATACACGGACACAGCTAGAGCTAACAATCAGAAAAACATGGAATTTATAATTCCATATTATATGATTGAATCATATGCTGGGAAGAAACGGGATTCGTATCACACTACTGGCAATTGTTTTCGCATTTCAAGGAACGAACTTACAGTCAGCTGTCAGTAATGACATATTTGCTCGAATTCAGGTGGAGAACGTGGAAGTGTTTAGCATCATGGATCGACCGGAAACGAAGGGAAAACCACGTGAGGTCGACATTCGTTTCGCTGCTCATGGCTCCCCTTACTACAAGGCTGTGAAGCTAGATGGAGCTGTCGAGGCCAACCTGATTGAGGTGGGCCACTACTATACTAAGGCTGATTGGCTAAACAAAGTTATTTGGCTAAAGAAATCTATCGATGTAGAACGTTGTTCTTACGTGCATCGTTATATTATAACAACGAACATTGAATGGATTCTTGGTTGACAAATGTGTCAGCCAAATGGGACATCTTTTAGCAAGATTTAGAGACTGATGTTTATTATTATATTATATTAGTATTATATTTATAGGCGTGGTTGGTGGCACGTTGTAATAAGTGCAATTGTGCTTACTGTGGGTGGCAAACATAATTGGTGTCAGAACCAATTAAGTCGGAACTCGGTCGGTTTAATGCTTTGATTCGTAACTGTGGGTTGCCGCTTCGTAAATCGCGTTTGCGAATATAATAAATGCACCAGCTTTATTCGGAAGTGGAGATGCTCGCAAGTTGGATTATCGTAACATTGGTGTTCGTTTTACTAGGACTTTATTATATTATTATATAGTGTGAATAAATGTGAAGCACTATAAACAATGTATCTTAGTTATTACTGGGTTCTTTTAGGCAGGTTACAAGTTTGTGTTCGTCATTTCACTGTTTTCATAATCACCTGAATTGTTCAATGAATCAAATGTTACATCACTTCAATCACGTGCATCACACTGTTATTTAATTTTATTCTTTCTGTGTTTGTTGGCGGCCGTACATAATGGCTAACATTGTATAATATACAGTTACGTATAATCGGAGAATAGCATGACAACTGGCAGTACTTGACAGTGCTGGAAACTGTAGGTGAAGACAGTCCTACTCACATACTGCACACAGTCCTACTTACCTACCCACCTACACATACCTACAGACCTACAGTCCTACAATCCTACAGCCCTACTCACCTACAGACCGACACACAGCTACTCATCTACACACACCTACCCACCTACACTCCTACAGTCCTACACTCCTACAGTCCTACAGTCCTACAGTCCTAATAGTCCTACTCACCGTTCTTCTCGCACAGGTCAGCGCAAACGACAAGGACCGCGCGCCGCCGGACGACATCCGTTACTCGCTGCGCGGGCAGGGTCAGGCGACGGGCGTGTTCACGATCAACCCGCAGACGGGCGAGATCTTCATCAACAAGCCGCTTGACCGGGACCCGCCCGCCGGTCAGGAGCTGTTCACGCTGCTCACTCTCGCCACTGACGACAAGGGCCGCGGCAACTACGGCTACGCGGACGTCTACATACACCTGACGGACATCAACGACAACGCGCCGCGATTCGACGGCAACTTTGAGGGGTTGGTGGACGAGAACACCGCCGCAGGTTGGCGCAATATAATATAATATTATATATTTATTTATGCTTATTTATTTAGTTATTTATTTATTCATTTGTTAGGTGCAACATTTAATACGTTTATATATATATATATATATATGTATATGTAATGTATATACGTAATGTATATGTAATGTGTATACGTAATGTATATATATGTAAGGTATACGTAATGTATGTGAACATTTGCATTTTATGCAAGTGTTGTATAGTGTAGAGTAACGTGTGCGTGCGTGCGTGTGTGCGTGCGCGTGTGGTGTGTGGTGCACTTCACATGAACACAAGTGTTGTGTAGTATAGAGTAACGTGTGTGTGTGTGTGTGTGTGTGTACAGGTGGAGCGTAACGTGGGCATCAACATCACGATGGTGCGCATCGACGAGTGCCTGCGCGAGTTCTGCGAGGGCGGATGCTCGAATCGCCTCGAGGCCTTCCAGACGCCAACCCTCGTCAACAGCAACAAGACGTCGCTCGTCGTCGTCACGACGACCGTCACCGCCGAGTGCGTCTGCCTCGCGACGGACTTCCGCTCGGTCGAGACGTGTAATTCGGCGTCGGCGATCGGCTGCCGTAATGGCGGCACCTGCCACGACTCGCCCAATGGCTACTAGTGAGTGATCACACGCTGATGTGCGGGGGGGGGGTCTCGTCTTGTTTTCGGGGTTGTCTGTGTCTATGTCTGTTGTCTTGTTCTCAGGGTTGTTCTGGGGTTTAGTTGGTATTTTGCAGGTGAATGTGATGGCAGTTACTGTGTGCAGGTTGTCGGTGTGTGTGGGTGTGCGAGTTATTGTGTGCACCTATAACCGGCCGTCGGTGCCGCTGCACTTTAGCAGCTGCACGTGTCTGCAAGTCTTCGTAGTATACGTACGACAATTAATTGATTACATTTAATTATTAATTAATACGACAATTAATTATAATTACAATTATTGTAACATACACTATAACGCCGCCTCCCGTCGGTGCCTCGGCGCTTGCAGCTGCACGTGTCTGCAGGGCTTCGTAGTATACATACGTATAGTAGTACGTATAACTGTATAACGCACCTATAACGACGTTACCTGTCGGCGCATACATACATATAGTAGTACGTATAACTGTATAACATACCTATAACGTATGTGCTTCTGCGTTTGCAGCTGCACGTGTCCGCAGGGCTTCGACGGGCCGCAGTGCCAGCAGACGACACGCAGCTTCCACGGCGGCGGCTGGGCGTGGTTCGAGCCACTGAAGCAGTGCAACAAGAGCCGCGTCAGCTTCGAGTTCATGACGGAGCAGGCCGACGCGCTGCTGCTCTACAATGGTCCGATGCGCGCGCGCGACGGCAGCGAGCGAGACTTCATCGTAGTCGAACTCGTCAACGGAAAGCCGCGCGTCACCATCGACTTTGGCTCGGGCCCGCTGACGCTGTACGTCGGCAAGGCTGAGAATCTGGGAGACGAGGAGTGGCATCGGCTCGATGTCGTGCTCGAGGACAAGGTGAGAGCGCACAGAAGAAAACAGCTATGTATCTATCGTGAAAGAAGAGAACAGCTATGTATCTATCGTGAAAGAAGAGAACAGCTATGTATCTATCGTGAAAGAAGAGAAAATTTCCGAAATGGAAAAAGAGGAAATTGGTTGATTCTGGTCTGTTGTTATGCAGTCTTTTTTGAAAATGTGTAGAAAATTCTTAAGTGGAGTGAAATTAAGATGGGCCACGAATTAATAGAGCAGGGCTGCAGGTGATGGATCAGGTGAGAGGAACGGATCAGGTTTTTGATGACTGTGCATTGTGGCAGCAGAAGATGCCAGTGGTTGGTGATCCACTAGATTAAATTATTTAGTTGTACACGCAAGCGATGTGAAATTAAATGTTAGTTGTAGAGCGTTACTTACTCTACAGCTTTAGCGAATGCATATGCGTTTGCAAACTCAATGGCAGCTTGAGATGCCGCAGGAGAGTTAAGCATGACAATGGTTGAAATGTTCCGTTACAGATACGAGATCGATAGAGCAGTAGACTCTGATCCAGAAGAGCTGTTCACGATAGACGAGAAAGGCATGGTGTATGTGAATAAGACCCTGGACAGAGAGAAGGTGGACACTCACTATGTCAGGATCCTAGCTATCGATGAAGGTGAGTCACCAAGTCCCCATTTTGTTCACGTAACTTCCTTTTTAGCCATTCAGTTTTCAAATTAATGTTGAATAATATATATATATAATATATATATATATGTATATGTAATGTATATACGTAATGTATATGTAATGTGTATACGTAATGTATATATATGTAAGGTATACGTAATGTATGTGTATATATATATATACTAATGTATGTGTGCGTGTGAACAGGTAAATCGGTGATGCGCATGACGGCCGTCGACTACGACACGGGCGAGAACGCGAAGCTGACATATCGCATCACGGAGAACGTCATCGACGACGCGTCGCAGTACAACATCTTCACGATCGACCCGAAGAGCGGGCTCATCACGACGCGCGTCGGCAACCTCGACCGCGAGAAGATCGACCACTACAAGATCAAGGTCGAGGCGAAGGACGCCGGCGGGCTGACGGGTGCAGCGGCTTTTTGATACGGCCGAAGAAGGAAAAAACGGTCCGCGAAAGTCGTCTTTCGTATTTCGAACGGACAGTTTCAGTAAATCGCAGAAGTATACTCCCTGACGCGTCTCTGAGCTAAAAAAAAAAAAAAAAAAGGAAAAAAGAAAGCTGATAAAACGTGTCTCCTCCTGCTCTTCGCAGAAGGTGACGTTTGTCGTCGACCGCTGCCGCATGATCAAGATGACGGAGAGTGGCAACTACGACCAGTCGTCGTGCATGGCGACGGGCATGATGCCGGGCCGCAACAAGTTCCTCAACGTGAACACGCCGCTGCAGCTCGGCGGCATCTCGAACACCGACGTCGGCCAGCCGAAGATGAAGTTCGAGAAGAGCTTCACGGGATGCATCAAGAACGTCGTGCAGGACGGCCGGGTGCGTGGGGGGGAGTGTAGGGGTGTGCGTGTGTGGGGGCGTGCGTGCGTGCGCGCGTGTGGGTGTGTGTTCCTGCGTGCGTGCGTGCCTGCCTGCATACATTGTAAATGAATAAATGTTTTGACCGCTCGTTTTTTCCCCTGAAATGCTAGTCCAGTTTATTACGATTGTGAAATACTAAATCTAAACCGATCCCAAGGGGTACTTCGTAAGTGCCATCATGTATCAAGTACTTCAAAAGTGCCCTTTGTAGCAATGGTGTTTCGTTAACATCGAAAGCATGTTTTTAGTTAAGTTACGCAGCATCATTGGACACGTTCCTAAAAATCTTTCTCACAGATGTACGACATCGGTAACCCTGGAAGTTCGCAGAGTAGCTCACCAGGGTGCGCGAGGACAGACGGGGTGTGTGGCATCAATAAGGTGACACCGCGCTGTCTGCACGGCACCTGCCTCGGATCAGTGCACAGCGCTCATTGCAGATGTGAACCCGGTTACTACGGACGGAGCTGCGAATTGGGTAACTGCAGATAACTAACTGTGTGTGGTTGGTTCTGTGTTCCTGTGTGCGTGCGTGCGTGGGTGCGTGCCTGCGTGTGTGACTTTATATGAGTGTTCTTACATTAATGAGCACGTGTATTTGTGCGAGTCTGTGTGTGTGCGTGCGTGCGTGTGTGTGTGTGTGTGCGTGGGTGCGCTTGTGTGGTATGCATGCCGGTGCCTGCCATGTCAAGGCGACCATTTCATTTCAACCTCGAATGCACTCTAAACCATGTTAAGATTCTTGTGACTATGTAGACGCACGCACACAGGTGGAGGTTTGTCATGCTCCCCGTTGACACTTTACGATTCTGACCGATCCTGTTTTATCCCCATGCAGAGGCACAGCCGCGTTCGTTCGAGGATAACAGCTTCGTGCATCTGCAGCTGAAGAAGCTGCCGCTGAGTGAGCAGAAGAGTCGCATAGAGCTGATGTTCCGCACGAACAAGCCTGATGGAACGCTGTTCCGCGCAACCGGCGCAGCGCGATTCGACTACATGTCACTCGAGGTGTGTGCATACAAGTATATATATATATATATATGTGTGCATACAAGTATATATATATATATGGATAGATAATGACAAATGTAATGTTTGTCATCTACCCCTGACATACTTGGGGTACCTAGTTGCCCTGGTGTCATCACTTGTCACTTGTTAAACTGGCACTTTTAGTTAAGAACTGTTTTTTATTGCACTGACTGTGAGGAGCTTGAAAGCTCATGTTGATATATCTTTTACCAATGCACCATCTTTAAATAAATAAATAAATAAATATGCAGCACTCGTCACTCCTAGTTGTTGACTTGCAAAGCTCAAGTCGGCAGACAATCGACATTAATTACGTTAATTAATTGCGAATAAGTGGAAATAAGAGTAGTACCTGCATTGGGGAAGCATGCTTATTTAATGTCGCAAATACTGTGAGCCTATTGTATGAAAATGTCATACATATTTATCTAGTAAAACGAAGCGAAAATTTTACGAAAAAAAATATGTGCGTGCTCAGTCATGATTTGCCTAAACGTCTCTTTTTGTTTCTAGATCGAAGCTAAGAAGTTGCACTTCCGCTACAACCTGGGCAGTGTAACGCACGAGCTGACCCTGACTCACGTGAACGTGACCGACGGTCAGTGGCACGCAGCTCTGGTCGAACGCTACGGCTCTGACGTCTTCATGTCCCTGGACGGTGGTGGCGGCAGGCGACAGAACGAGACGCTCGGATTGCGAGGTACACATCGTGCAGTGACTGTTTCCAGTGTTTAGTGATGCTCTTTAAGATTAAAATTGCTAGGTTTCGCTGTGATCACTGCTACCATCCATCTCGTTGGCTCATTCAGGGTATATGTAGTTGTACGTATGGCCATCAGTTGTAGTCTTATCCTTGTCGTTCTTTCCATGTCTTGGCCTCTTCTTTGTGTTTATATGCGTAATCCTCATCTCTCACATGCACTGCCTTTTCACTTCCTGCCCCTCCATAACCCCCTCTATCATGATTTTATTGTCTTTCTCCTCATCTTCCCCTTCATCCTATTCATTATTCTGCTTCACCATCTCATCATCAACATCAAGAACATCATCAACAGGGAATCGGTGAGCCTGTTGCCTCTTGCTGCATTACTCGTGCTTGATATGGTGTTAATCGCTGGGTATCCGACTCTCCTTGCACGTGTTTAATGCAGAGCACGTCATGTACAATAAATGTGTATGAACGTGAATTTTGTGATCGATTCTCATCCAATCATCAGCAGCCTTGTGACATCAAATTATGCAGTTCCTGTTATCTGCTGCGATGCGTTTCTGTCAACGCTATTCTCTCGTAACGTTAACATTAGTCGTAAGTGTTATGTTAGCATTAACATCAGCATTAACTTTACGATGTTTCTGACAACGGCCTCCCTGACTCCCTTCTTGCACGTGTCTCACTCAGAGCACCATCGCCTCATCGAGGTGGACCAGCAGGAGATCTACATCGGCGCCGCAGCCTCGATCACGTCCGTCACCGTGCAGAGCGTGCGCGTCTACAACATTCCGAGCCCGCAGAAAGACTTTGTCGGTACGTTCCCATGCAACCTCGGGCGTTGAGGCAAGGTGAAACACCTAAGCTGTAGTTGTCCGAGTTTGTTTCAGGAGTCGGCTTCAGAGTCTAAGCTACGCCACCTCCCCGTATTCTGTTATTCCCTTCATGGGTGACGCATGTACAAAGTCGTTTGTAGTGCATCAGAAAACTTGCCATCTCTTTGTACGCTGTTCGGTCAATAAGAGAGTATATAGAGTGCAATAAGAGAGTATATAGAAAGTGGAATGAGAGAGTAGAATAAGAGAGTATATAGAGAGTGCAATAAGAGAGTATATAGAAAGTGCAATAAGAGAGTATATCGAGAGTACAATAAGAGAGTATAATATAGTAATAAAAAGAGTGCTATTAAATAGAGAGTATTGGTGTTCAATACTATTCACCCCTCTCGAGGACTCGCTCTTTGCATCCAACGATCTAAGGCTGTAGTTTTGACATGACATTTGCCGTGCGATCACTCTCGCTTCAATCTCTCGCATGCTGCCGGCAAACTCATGGCGTCGTTCTCTCTCTCTTTCATCTCATGGCGTGCGCAGTCGATAATCTACGGCTAAATTTTGACCCGACGCTTGCCTCGCGATCACTCTCGATCGCTCACGTGCTGCCGCTTACTCACGGCGTCTCTCTCTCCTTCGCGGCACGCGCAGCTAATGATATAAGACTGTAGTTTCGATGTGACACTTGCCTCGTACGCCTTCACTCGTATTACTGTATTGCTCTCTAGAACTCACTCTTTGCGTCCGATGATCTAAGGCTGTAGTTTTGACGTGATGCTTGCCTCGCGATCACTCGCATGCAGCCAACTACTCACAGCGTCTCTCTCTCTCTCTCTCATCTCACGACACTCTCAGGCTGCATCAAGGACGTGCGCTACGAGGAGTACGCGCTCTCGCTGCACATGGAGAACCAGTACAGCAAGATCATGCGCGAGGAGAACGTGATCGACGGCTGCGCGGACGGCAACGAGTGCCTCGCCTTCCCCACGTGCTCGCTGCCGGCGCACGTCTGCATCGACATGTGGCGGCGCGCCGAGTGCCACTGCCCCGGCGGCTACCTGCAGGACGAGCGGGGCGACTGCCACGACATCAACGAGTGCATCATCTCCGTGAGCAACATGTGTCAGAACAGCGGCGTCTGTGTCAACCTGTCCGGCGACTACCACTGCAGGTGAGCATTTTTTTGGACATCTGACCTCTGACCTCGTTCGTCGTCGCCGGAGCGCCTCAGATGTGAGAGTGTTTCCTGGCTGTGATGCATGCTTCGTAGAATGACTTTGCTGATTTTGCTTATCTCTCTATCTATTGGCTTACCACAGTGTTACAACAAGCCTATTTGCATACCAACTGGACATCGGTAGAGAGCAATGAGGCAGGAGTTGTTTTTGTATTCGAATTAATTCTGTTCGTGTTTGATGGTGACCTACATTTCCTGGTTTGCTGCATTGGAGGCTGTTCCACAGTCGTCCAGCAGCAAATTAAAGCACTCGAACTGCATATATTTGACCTACCCGCAATAGACGCAATTGCTTATGTTGTTTTTGTGTGCTTATGCTGCTTGTCTTTCGCACCGGCATTCACTTTTGTTCGTGGTTTCAGGAACCGGCATCGCGACCATCAACGTCGGCGATCAGAATGACGAAAAGCCCGAGTTTGTGACGAAGGTCTACAAGGCGACGATCGCAGAGAACCTACCGAAGGGTACCAGCGTGCTTTCCGTTTCCGCCAGTGACAAGGACAAGGACTCGAGGCTCAGGTAAACGCCTATCACCGACAGTCTTGCCCGTCTCTCCCTCGTCCCTCCTCTTCCCTCGAGTCGAAAGCTGAGTTCACGGCACGCAGGCCCGTCAGACTGTCACTGTCAGACGTCGAACTGGTGATCTTTATTAAGAATGCGACGATGATCACCGTGTTTCTTGATTCCGGATGGCGATCGGTGACATGCAACTCGACTTGGACTCGTCGCGAATGCTGCTAGGAAAAGGCATGAGCTGCAGATTGCATATATGGGTGTTAACTGTCCGTCTGTAGACGGATTTCCGTCTTAAGAAAAATTCAGTATTTTTCAGTATTTTTTTAATTTTAAAATTTAAAATTATTATTTTTTTTTAAGTGCATTGCATCTAAAGATCTTAACTATGTATGCTTGTTATTCTTGTATAATATTGTTTTATCCAAGATTTTATGTTACAAATTAAATAGATTGTAGTTTTTTTTAATTTCTTCTAATCTTATCAGGAAATGCCACCAAATGTGTTTTGGATTGCACAGTATCCATAGCTTCGGGGGACCCCCCCACCCCACCCCACCCACACCGGACAAAATTTTTTCCAGTCCCCAGTGTTTTTGTTAACACCCACGTACATAGTAGGTGCTTTGTGAGTTACTTCGGCACTAATAGTACGGGGGTGTCTGTGCCCAGGTACATCATCGTTGACGAGGTTGGCCAGAAGTTCTTTAACATCCAGGATGATCCCGACACCAACAGCGCTGTGCTGCAGATAGCTAAGGACCCGACTGAAACTGGCAAGGCTGCAAACGTACGTGTCTTTGCTGCCCCTAGGCTATACAGTCGAACCTCGGTTATCCGAACCTCGGTTATCCGAATTTCGGATTATCCGAACAACATCTCAAGGTCCTGTGAATATTTAACGGTAATACTATCAGATCAGGCATCCGAACAATCAGTTATCCGAACAAAGTACTCCGCGCCCGTCTCGTTCAGATAATCGAGGTTTAACTGTAGTCCGTCTTCTAATCGTCTCATATCTGGATGTCCTCACCACGTGTCAAGATGAATGGCACGTTCCATGATAGTCTAGTGTAAGAGCCTGGATATCTGCCTCCTTCCCTCCATCCCTCTCTTACTCCCTCCCTCCATCCTTTCCTCCTCTGCATCACTCCCTCTGGTCTTCCCTTCTTTCTCTTTCTCTCAATCTCTATCCCCT